ACTTTCTTGTTTTTCTTTGAAGATGTTTCACTTCTCATCCAAGAAGCTTCTTCAGCTCTGAGTGGACTGTGGGAAATGGAAGGATTTATACTCCTTGTAGAAAGCTGGTCATTTGCATTTTTAAGAAAGTCATTGAGGCCATTTGGAGGTTTATCTGTGTCCTCCAAATGGCCCCGAAGACTCTCTAAAAGAAGGCAAATGACCAACTGTCTGTAAGGATTATCAGTCCTTCCAGTCCCCACCATCCAGTCTGAGCTGAAGAAGCTTCTTGGATGAGAAGCAAAACATCTTCAAAGAAAAACAAGGAAGTCCAATTGTCTCCTGAAAAAGCACCTTTGGGACAACCGTAACTAGATTATGCGAAGACCTAGTTGTCTTGGAAAGTCTCAAAGGTTTTGCAAGATGTAAGGAAAGGAAAAAAGAGGATGACCAGCAGCAGAGAAGGTTGCTGGACCTAGTTACAGTGATGAGGGATGAACCATTGGAAGACTTGAAGAACCAAGTTAGGAACACCTGAAGAACACCTACTGACGTGGTCAACTGACTGGATGGCACATAGTCAATCAGCCAAATCATTAGCAATGGGAGAACCGTCTCCCAATCAAATCCACCCCATCCAACGAAGGACTTGAGTACAAATCCCTCTGGATTTCAGGATCGAAGATCCATGCTTCAACTCCAGCAAGGATGAACGAAGTCAAAGGTTAAGCAGGTAGGATCCCAAAGCTTAGGTCTCAGTCCGCACCTTCCTTCCATACTGACCCATAATTATCCTGTAAGATCAAGGAAGGGAGCAGTATGAATACTAGCAGCCAATCCCTACCCGTCAAACAAGACCCAAAGAACCTCAGTCTTACCCACGACATCAGCTCTGCCTCTTCTGCTAGGTCAGGGATAGGCAACCTCGGCTCTTTGATGACTCGTGGACTTCAACTCCCAGAATTCCTGAGCCAGCCACGCTGAGGGGAAAGGGAGAGGTTTCCAAGCTGAGCCATGCTGGCTCAGGAATTCTGGGAGTTGACGTCCACAAGTCATGAGGGGGCCATAGTTCCCCCATGCTGGGTCAGGAATTCTAGGAGTTGAAGTCCATGAGTCATGAGGGGGCTATAGTTCCCTCATGCTGGCTCAGGAATTCTGGGAGTTGAAGTCCACGAGTTATGAGGGGGGCATAGTTCCCTCATGCTGGCTCAGGAATTCTGGGAGTTGAAGTCCACGAGTCATGAGGGGACCATAGTTCCCCCATGCTGGCTCAGGAATTCTGGGAGTTGAAGTCCACGAGTCATCAAAGAGCCAAGGTTGCCTACGCCTGTGCGAGGTCATTAGATCACTTCTCCAAAGTCTTGAAAAGAAATTCTTTCTTAAAAGCATTACTTCCCCCTCTTCAAAAACAGCATTTGGTTATGGGGTCCCCTCGTCAAGACCTTCTCCTCTGACCCCCAAGTTTACATATCCATGGGACAACTTGCAACTGGCCCAGAATAAACTGGGGGACTGTTTCCTATACTTCTTTTTCCCCCACTTCCTCTCTTGATTGTACACAAAATAACGAAGCCTGCCCCCCCCCAAAGGGGAGTTTAGTTTTCATACAATTTTAAACAGGCTTTATCGAGTCTGAGTAGCTCTGTCTGTGCGTTGCTCGGCCCAAGGGATTCTTCAACAGATATTATCTTCTGCTCCTCTTTACCCTCCCCTCCTTCTCCGTCTAACACCTTCGGCTTCTGAATTTCATATCTGGTATTAAATCCCATCTCTCTTCCATGATATATCTTGATGTCAACGCTGCCTTCCATTACAACGTTCTCTCCTCTCTTCAATTTCCTCTATTATTCATATTTTATCCAGTAATAACATCTAGGTAGATGAGGCAGGGACTGCCACTTCATATTTATGAACTGAAACACACCAAGTCCTTATTACTGGATGTTTATGGAAGCCCACGAACAATCATGCAACAGGGGAGAAGTAGAGAGGGTTGATGCTCCTTCGCGCATTGTGGTTTCTTCGAATAGTCAACTCAGCTAGAGAGCGCTAGTAGACCTGGAGACGAATCAGGGCTGGGAGCAACAAGGCAGAGAAAACCCTTTACTCCAGGGAATCTTTGGTTTCCAAACAACAACAAAAGACATCCTTAAAGACAGCCCTACGGTTGGAAAACAGAGAAGAAAGCAAGACTCCCTGGCTGCATTCAGAATCAGAATGGGGCTGGAAGGGACCTTGGAGGTCTTCTAGTCCAGGCCCCTGCTCAAGCAGGAGATCTTGTACCATTTCAATCAATCAATCAATCAATCAATCAATCATAGAGCTGGAAGGGACCTTGGAGGTCTTCTAGTCCACCCCCCTGCCTGAGCAGGGTGTTGGAGTAGATGACCTCCAAGGTCCTTTCCAACCACTTCTTCTTCTTCTTCTTCTTCTTCTTCTTCTTCTTCTTCTTCTTCTTCTTCTTCTTCTTCTTCTTCTTCTTCTTCTTCTTCTTCTTCTTCTTCTTCTTCTTCTTCTTCTTCTTGTTTTGTTGTTGTTGTTGTTATTGTTGTTATTGTTGTTATTATTACAAAGGTGGCTGCTGTTTTCCTGGTGTATTATGGAGTGTTGCTGCACATTAATAAAAGAGATATGCGAATCTTATGAATTTATCAGTGAGACAGCTGGGGGGAGGGGAAAGAAGATGAATGCTACAGGGGAGGAAAGATTCAGATCTTTCTTTAACTCTTTGCTGGCCTCTGATGGTGATCAGGACAATGGCAACCCAAATATAGCAGCCTCCACAAGACAGCTTAGAGTTGACAGTACCGAGCTCTATAAATAATGTCGCCTTGGTAGAGCAGGTGGTAGACAGTCCTTTGACAGTCACAGTCAAGAACGGAGACTGTGAGGACGTTCAGAAAATAGAGTTGGATGGAAAGAGTGTAAATAAAATGTTCAGAAGCTCCACCGAAATAGAATTGCAAGGGTCAATTCCAAATCAGGAAGCAGACGTTAGGACCGGGTCTCACTCTGTTCACTTTTCAGCAAATATCGCTCTTCAAGGATGTCCTCATGCTGGTCAGAAGGGTCACTTCTAGGCTTATCTCTTCCTTGCCCCAGTTTTTTTCTGTCCAATCTGGCTCAGCTTAAGGTCATAACTCAGGGTTCTTCAAACTTGGCCCTTTTGTGACTTGTGGACTTCAACTCCCAGAATTCCTCAGCCAGCGTGCCTGACTGAGGAATTCTGGGAGGGGCCTTCAAACTTGGCCCTTTTGTGACTTGTGGACTTCAACTCCCAGAATTCCTCAGCCAGGCATGCTGACTGAGGAATTCTGGGAGTTGAAGTCCACAAGTCACAAAAGGGCCACGTTTGAAGACCCCTGTCCTAACTGTTCTGAAATCAGAGGGGTTGGAGAACCAGATCTTCCCTACTTTGAAATATGCTGTCCTCTTACAGTACTTCCTGGTTCCTTCCTTCCTTTGCAGATGAGATCCACTTAATGACCGCCTTGATTAGCCTTGTGAATGCTGGTCCCCATTGTGGCCGTAAGCCAAGGACTATCTGTGAACGTATACAGATGAGGCCGATGGTACCTTCAGGGGAATGGAGACATCTTTTGAGAAAACAACTCAACTGATCTTCTCTTGTTCATTCCCCAAAGCCAACTCTTCATTCATGCTTCCCAGAGGCTAGAAAAGTCCTGAAGTTATCCATTTCCCAGAAGGGGTACTGCGTGATCCTTTTCTCGTGAGGAAACCGACCACCTCTCTTTCCTTACTGGCTCCTGAGATCTAAGCTGATCCTCCGTTCTCAGGATCACGAATTGGCTGTCGCTGGCAAGCCTGGCTCCATCAAAACCTCTAAACAATTCCAGCAGCTACCAGCTTCAGAAACCTCCAAGTAGGTGAGATGTCAAGAGACGATGGCCAACTGACAATACCGCCAAAAAGACCATTAGAGAGGTGCTCCACCTCTCGGTTCCCTGAATGGTCCAAGCTGGAAATATTCCTCTAATGAAAATGAGAATTGGCATTTCTTCCATCTCTGCTTGCTTGTGACGCTCCTAAGCTTTTCTCCACACAATACCGAGATGACACTGGCTTGGCAGGCACAGACTGTGTCTCCAGAAGAGAACCAAGCCACCAGGCTCTTGGCCCTTGACAGACTTGGAGTTGGGTGCTTCTTCTCAAACTAGAGAAAAAGTACAATAATTGCCCCGGGCAAGTCACAAAGAAGAGGCTTCTGGGAGCACATGGAAGAAGGAAGAGCAAGCCTCTCTGGATAGGAGTGAACAGGCTCTCTTACTATTTATCAATCAACCCAGCAGAAAGGATAAGAAGCTCTCAAGATGTTCTTCAGTCAATGCGGTTGAAAGCTCCAGAGACAAATAGCAAAGTGGGGAGCAGGCACTTCAGCCCAGAGTAAATAGCAATAAGAGACATTTAATGGGGTCCTTCAGCCACTTGAGGCTCGACGTTTGCATTTCCGTGAAGAGATGGATACTCAAAGAACACCTGAGACTTAGGAGATCTTCTTCATGAAGTCATGGCATAGGCGAAGCCTCGCAAGGGAGCCATCTCCCTTCACGCTCCCAAGGAAGGAGGAACACAAGATCCAATTTTGAGATGGACCTTCAGTTCTCCATCCCCTTGGGATTATCAAGCGAAATGCCTTCCTGTTTACACCGATGTGTTCCTTGAACCCTTACCAGGGTGCCATTGGACACAAATAGGATGACAAGAAGGAATGAGGCACCTTGGTGAAGAAGATCAAGGAGTCACCAAAAGATAACACTCAAATAAGTCAATACCAAGAAAAGATAAGGACACTTTCCTATTTTCTGGCCACTGAGAAACTAAAATCCACCAAGTATGACTTTTAAGAGAGAGGTCAACATTATTAACATTTCCATCTGGATTTGCCTTCCCCGCAAACTATAATGAGATAGCAAGGGCTAGGCTTAAGTACCCCTGCATTGATAAGAGGGCCAGGAGTTTATAGGGATTGATTTTGAAAACTCATTTGTGCAAACACCTACCTTGATCACATCTTCATCTGAGGATCTGCACTCCACGGACTCCACAAGATCAGTCACTGTTCCATCTTCTTCCACCGAGACCACCTTAACAGGGACAGCCACCGTCTTCCCAGTGAGGATGGCGGTGTTTAAGATCTCTGCTTCCTGAAAGACAAAATGTATCATCATCATCATCATCATCATCATCAAGTTGGAAGGGACCTTGGAGGTCATGTAGTCCAACCCCCCTGGAATCAAGCTTATCAAAGCTTGGTTCTCTCCCTGTTTGTTGCAATAAACAAAAGGCCTTCACTGTATCTTGGCTGGTTATTGGTCAGGCGAGCTTACATCTGTTTACAAAGTGCAGAGAAGAACAACTAAGATGATTAAAAGCCTGGAGACTAAAACATATGAAGAACCACTGCAGGAATCAGGTATGTCTATTTAATGAAGAGAAAGACGAGGGGGGACATGATAGCAGTCTTCCAGTATCTCAGGGGCTGCCCCAAAGAAGAGGGAGTCAAGCTATTCTCCAAAGCGCCTGAAGGCAGGACAAGAAGCAATGGATGGAAACTAACCAAAGAGGAACGCAACCTGGAACTAAGGAGAAATTTCCTGACAGTGTGAACAACTAACCATGGAACAATTTATCTCCAGAAGCAGTGAATGCTCCAACGCTAGAGGTTTTTAAGAAGAGACTGGACAGCCATTTGTTTGAAATGGTATAAGGTTTTCTGCCTGAGCAGGGGTTGGACTAGATGACCTCCAAGGTCCCTTCCAACCCTATTATTCTACGTTCTATAATTATTTGGGTACATCAAGATAAATTATGATAAAGTTGGAGGCTCCAACCTGAAAGTTTTTCAGAAGAGATTGGACAACACTATAATAATGATAATAATAATAATAATAATACTAACAACAACAACAATAGTAGTAGTAATAACAACAACAACAATAGTAGTAATAATAATAATAATAATAATAATAATAATAATAATAATAATAATAATAATAAAAAAGTTGGAAGGGACCTTGGAGGTCATCTAGTCCAACCCTCTATACCATTTCAGATAAAGGGCTGACTGAAATGGTATGGTTTTCCGCTTCAGCAGGGGGTTGGTCTAGAAGACCTCCAAGGTCCCTTCCAACTATGTTGCTCTGATATTCTGCTGCTGATGGCGTGCGAAAATGCAAAGGTTCTTGGGAGAAGGAGATGGGAAAAAAAGATGTTAAGGCCTATGGAGAAGACCGAAGAAGTCAACATGATTTAATTTCGTTTATGCAGGCTGTAACCAAAGATGGGATGTGTTGAGGCTTCTATGAAACATTCCTTCGTTAGCAAGAGGAATGCAACCACGACATAGTAAATAATGTTAAGCAACTGCTACCCAAGACAACCGCTTCGTTTTACTTAACAGCCAGGCAAGACCTGAATAAAGATAGGAGATACTGTCTCATATGAAATTGGTCAAGCAAGGGTTATTTTCACCCTAGAAGACTTACAAGCCTGCGAAGCTAGTTAATAACCATCATAATAAAGTGGGAAGGGACCTTGGAGGTCATCTAGTCCAACCCCCTGCTCAGGCAGGAAACACTATACTGTTTCAGACAAATGTTTGTCCAGTCTCTTCTTTAAAACTTCCAGACATTTCGTGACCCAACTAGGCAACCTCATCAGCACTGGAAGGGAGTGGGGCTCACAAAGAAAAGGAGGAGGAGGAGGAATTCTGGGAGTTGAAGTCCACGAGTCCTAAAAGTTTCCAAGCTTGAGAAACATTGCGGTGGAATCTCTTGATTCCGTTCACACCTCTCCCATCTTGCCCCTTTCCTCTTCAGCTGGCATCTATCATCCGGTGCCTCAAAGAGCACGCCTCAGCCGTGCAAAACTAATTTCAAATCTTATTTAGCATCAAGTCCCCGAATTAAGAAACTAAGTGACAGCTGTTTAATTAACTCCTTAAGCTGATTAGACAGCATTACCGCAATCCCCCAAGGAAGAGTTTATATCTGTCAAGAGAGCCTAAGGCTATGTTAATGCTTCTGTTTAAATTTAGTAAGCTTCTACACCAATGTGCTCTAAAACGTTTGACATCCTCAAGGAGGGGGCTAGCTTCACAATTCCCATGTCCCTTTCTGGTCCTCCAGATGCAGAACTCTGGCAGCCTGCTCCTAATGAACCAAGGCCTGGAATTGCTATAGATGTTAATTGGGGGTATTAGGGATCAGGAACAAGCAAGAGAAGAGAAGGGAGAGAGGAACTGAAAAGGGAAGGGAGAGGAGGAGGAGGAGGAGAGGAGGAAAAGGAAGAAAGAAGATGGAGGGAGGAGGAGGAGGAAGAGGAGAAGGAGGAAAAGGAGGAGGAGGAGGAGAAGAAGGAGGAGGAGGGGGAAGGAGAAAGAGAAGGAGAAGGGGGAAGGAGAAGGAGGAGAAGAAGGAGGAGGAGGAGGAGGAGGAGGAGGAGGAGGAGAAGAAGAAGAAGAAGAAGAAGAAGAAGAAGAAGAAGAAGAAGAAGAAGAAGAAGAAGAAGAAGAAGAAGAAGAAGAAGAAGAAGAAGAAGAAAAACCAACTCCTTCTCAAGATCAACAAGAAGGGGAGGAGGAGGAGAGGAGGAGGAGGAGGAGGAGGGGAAAAGGAAGAAAGAAGATGGAGGGAGGAGGAGGAAAAGGAGAAGGAGAAGGAGGAAGAGGAGGAGGAGGAGGAGGAGGAGAAGAAGGAGGAGGGAAAGGAGGAGGAGGAGAAAAAGAAGAAGGAGAAGGAGAAAGAGAAGAAGAAGAAGAAGAAGAAGAAGAAGAAGAAGAAGGAGGAGGAGGAGGAGGAGGAGGAGGAGGAGGAGGAGGAGGAGGAGGAGGAGGAGGAGGAGAATTACCCATTCCGTCCCTCCCAAAAGCTGTCCCAATGGCCTTGCAAGTTGCCTATCACGTTATGACTTGTTCTAGGAATTTGAACTGGCCTTCCAGCTCCGACTCTACCTATCTGGAACCTAGGTTGATTTGCGTCTTCAGTTGAGCAGGACTTCATCTTATGCTTTATCGGCTGCAAGGCAACATGTCAACATCAATGGCCATCAGCCATACCTGTCGCTTGCTTGTCCAAATCACAGAGCTTGTCAAGCTTTTGAAGTTAAAAGGTACCGACAGAAACCAGTCATTAATTTCCAGGTTCTGAACCCATGCTTCCATGAAACTCTGCATGAATAGTTACATGTTTTCAACAAAGTTCTTTAGATGATAATCAAAGAAGCCGATACTTTTGAGAATGGATGACCTTCTATTCTGGCTCCCTCCTTCAGCAAACCAACAGGTCTTCCCTCTATTCATACAAGGTATAGGAAAAACAAATGCCTAACTTATTAAAGGAAGCACATATTTCCAGCTCTGAGAGGAGAGGAGAGGAGAGAAGAGGAGAGGAGAGGAGAGGAGAGGAGAGGGGAGAGGAGAGGAGAGGAGAGGAGAGGGGAGGGGAGAGGGGAGAGGAGAGGAGAGGAGAGAGGAGGGAGGGAGAGAGGAGGAGGGAAGGGAGGGGAAGAGGAGAGGGGAGGGGAGGGAGAGGAGAGGGGAGAGGAGAGGAGAGGAGAGGGAGGAGAGGGGAGAGGAGAGGAGAAGGGAGAGGGGAGAGGGGAGGAGAGGAGAGGGGAGGGGAGAGGAGGAGGAGAGGGGAGGGGAGGGGAGAGGAGAGGAGAAGAGAGGAGAGGGGAGGGGAGAGGAGAGGAGAGGAGAGGAGAGGGGAGGAGAGGGGAGGGGAGGGAAGAGGAGAGGGGGGAGGGGAGGGGAGGAGGGGAGAGGGGAGGGGAGAGGAGAGAGGAGAGAGGTGGATGATCACTTAAACATGAGCGAGCAGTGATTATATGAACAGAGGCATAGAATCAAAATCATGTGAAGTATTAGTATTACTTTATAAAACTTTAGTAAGACCACACCTGGAATACTGCATCCAGTGTTGGTCACCAAAAAAAAAAGACGTTGAGACTTCGGAAAAAGTGGAAAGAAGAGCAACTAAGATGATTAAAGGCTTGAAGATAAAAATATATGAAGAGCGGATTTAGATTTGGCCAATCTAGAGAAAAGAAGGACTAGGGGGGACATGATAGCAGTATTCCACTATTTGAGGGGTCGCCACAAAGAAGAGAGGGTCAGCTTATTTTTCAAAGGACCAAAAGGCAAGACAAGAAACAATGGATGGAAACTAATCAAGGAGAGAAGCAACCTAGAATTAAGAAGAATCTTCCTGACAGTGAGAACAATCAACTAGTGGAATGACTTGCCTCCACTGGAGGTTTTTAAGAAGAGACTGGACTACCACTTCTCTGAAATGGTATAGGGTCTCCTGCTTGAGCAAGGGGCTGGACTAGAAGACCTCCAAGGTCCCTTCCAGCTCTATTCTGATTGACTTCTGATTGATTGAGTGGGAGAAGGAGAGATCTATAGCTGGATCTAACAATCACAGTATTGCTGAGTACCTTGGAAGAAAAGTCGGAAGCATTCTTAGAGAATGTCCTAGCCACACCCAACCAATAACTCAGTTTTCCAAACATGATGGCTTACCAAGCCCATGGTTTCACTGAAGCCCACGTTAAGGTGACCATCCACGAAAGCTTCCTGCCCTCAAGGCACAGACAGTCACGATGGAGCAGGATCAGAGAGAACTCGTTCAGACAAAATAAAAGATTTTCTGCCCTAATCAAAGTGAATGTTTAACGCTGGACTTCAAAGGGAGGTGATGTAATTGAACGATGGATGTGCTGGCTACTTTAATTAAAATCTTGCAACCGGCGTTTGGCGTTTCTACCAATCTTCGTAAGAATGGGGCTGCTGTGGTTTGGAAACACCTACCAGCCCTCTCTCTTTGAACCTGGTTTTAGAGTCCCTGAATGGATGGAAATGCAACGGGAAGCTGGCATCCAGCAGTCAGGCAAGATTTTATGTCAAATAATGCTTCCAACACGAGAGACAATTTGTAGCTTGGTTGTTTTCTTGTAGACGTTCATTATCCTACTAGGTAATGTAATCAGTGCTAAAAGGGAGGGGGTTTGGGGGGGAGAAGGAGAAAGAGGAGGAGGAGGAGGAAGACTGTGACTCCTTGGTGCTCTCTGAACTTTGTGGTTATCTTCCAGACGTTTCATGACCCAACTAGGTAACCTCATCATTGCTAGAAGGGAGTGGGGT